CGCCCCTCCCGCCTTCGGTCGGAGACAAACCCGGAAGGGAGAGCCAGTCAAGCGCATGCGCGCTACCCGGCCCCTCCCCTCTCGCCGATGCAGGCGAGAGCCAGATGGTCGCCGTCGCCGCGGCCCCTCCTCCTCCTCCTCCTCCTCAGGGGTCACAGCGCCACCTTCGGGCGGGCGGAGCGAAAGCCTCGCCTCTGGGTCCCTTTTTTGGGCGGTAAAAAGTGATTGACAGCCGCTACCTTCTTCGAACGCGCCTTGGGTGTCGCCGGGCCTCAGGCGGCTGACAACGACGCGGCTTTGACGAAGCGACCCACGAAACAGGCCCAGCTCAGTTACGAAACGCGCCGCTCGTTGTTTCGGGTGTTTTGGAAACAACGTCAGGCTGGAGATCCGTTAGCTGAGCCAAGCAGGGCGTTAAGAGGAGCCACGGAAAGGCCCTCCTCAGGACGGCCTAAATAATAAATGGCCTTGTCTGGGGGTGGGGGGTGGGGGCGTGTGAGGTGAGTGTGAGGTGATTGGGGGCCAGGAGGGCCTCCCTGGGAAAGGGGTTTTCAGCACCCCACTCGAGGCCTCCCTGAAGGCAGAAGAGGCCCTTGCCTTCGCCTCTGCTGGCCTGTCTGGTAAAAACAAAGATATAATATAAAGAGGACCGAACGTGGGCCAAAAAGGATCATCCCTCAGGACCTTAAAGCCAGGACTGGCTTCAGTGAGGAGATTGGGGTCCTCTAGGTCGGGCCTGGAGCCCCCCCCACACAGACACACACAGACACACCCCTCACCACAACAAACCCTAAGGGGAAAAAAAAGACAAGCAAAGCAGCTTCTGGCGCCACCATTGCTCTCTTCTTTATTCTAAATTGTTTCCCAAGGCAGCCCAAGCGGGCAGAAAAGCAGCAGACAAATTCCAATACGGGCGAAATATTGCAAATCTGTTCCCCTGTATAACCAAGGAAGAAGCCGGACTCATTCAGGACAAAACAGATTTGAGCCAACGTCCAGTGTTCTCACACACGAAACGCCACACACACCGCCTTGGTGGCAAAGCATTTCGTAATGATAATTCGTCAAACATTAGGGATAAGCACCAACTCCGAACAGATTTCCTATATTGGCAGAAGCATCTCTAAAAATCCAAATAAGTTAAAAGCATTCAGTTGTCATCAACCCCTTTGGATACAAAGAGAGGATGACTGAAAGAGAAATTAAGTATGTCCCAGACAGGAAAAGTAGTGGTGATAAAGATGCTTGCATTTGACCGATATTTTTTAATCACAGAACTTGCCATTGAGTCTCCCAGGAAGGATTTGTTAAATAGTTAAGGGATGATTAATAGTTTTATATTTTTCAAGAAAACCATATCTCTAGATCACTAATTTATCTGCTGACCTCAGAAGGGAAATCAGAGGTTCTACATATTGTTAAATATCATTACGTGCTCCATTTACAGCATGTGTTTGCCTTTTTGAGAAAAGGTCCTGAGAGACATTGTGTTAAAATGGAATCGCTAAATTGCTTGAAAAAAAAATAAACATATTCTTGACAATGAAGCAATAGTAAATACAGTATGGCACAATTCGAAAATCCCTTCCTTCTCTCTACTACTGTATGTAGGCCTGGAGAAAATGGTTCAAGACATTAGTGCCTCCAAATACAGCATTCACACCTATAATCAATCGTCCATTATTCTACCATGCAGACAAGAGTCAACAATTCTCTAAACAGAAAATGGTAGGTCTTTGCAGGCTACATGGATGAAACATTCCACTGAATGGAACACAAATTTCTGGTAACTCATTTAGAGAAAAAGGGCCTAATTGTCCAGATCTCTGCATTGGGAGGAAACCAATGACAAATCTAGACAGCATCTTAAAAAGCAGAGACATCGCCTTAGTGACAAAGGTCCACATAGTCAAAGCTACGGTTTTTCCAGTAGCGATATATGGAAATGAGAGCTGGACCCTAAAGAAGGCTGACTGCCGAAGAATCGATGCTTTTGAACTCTGGTGCTGGAAGAGACTCTTGAGAGTCCCCTGGACTGCAAGGAGAACAAACCTATCCGTTCTGAAGGAAATCACCCCTGAGTGCTCACTGGAAGGACATCCTGAAGCTGAGGCACCAATAACTTTGGCCATCTCATGAGAAGATTCCCTGGAAAAGACTCTGATGTTGGGAAAGTGTGAAGGCAAGAGGAGAAGGGGATGACAGAGGATGAGATGGCTGGACAGAGTCACCGAAGTGACCAACATGACTTTGACCCAACTCCGAAAGACAGTGGAAGACAGGAGGGCCTGGCATGCTCTGGTCTATGGGGTCACGAAGAGTCCGACACGACTAAACAACAACAACTGCATTAAAGTTCTCCTGCTCCCTTCTTTTATTTACTCTGAAGATGCTAAATAGCAAGCCAGGAGACTATGAGCATCACTTGAGCAACTAATCTGGTTTTCATTCCAATTGAAAAGGAACAATGTCAATAATGCATAAAAGACGGTTGGGTTTGGAGAAACTATTCAATGTCAGGCTTAAAATGTGTGTGAGCAACGGATCTCTAATAGGACACTCTTAACAAAAAACATAGTGGATGTTGCAGACACAAAAACAATTCACATCCATTTTGGCAAACATGAGAAACCACTCTCAAAATTACAGACATGTGAGAGGGTTGCGTTGAGCATCCTCAGCGGGCTATCTGGGGAGCCTAGAAGAGACCGAGTTTCCCAGTCCCCTAGCCGGCGTGGATGATGGGACCCTTAAATTGGCACTGTGACGTTTACCCTATGGCCCCTGCTTCTTTCACCAAACACAGAGCTCACATGAGTATCCCAAAACTCCCTTTCACATGCTGCCACCCATTGATCTCTTTATCAACCTATATTTCCTATGAAAGATGGAGGTCCATTCAGGACCGAACTTTTAAACAGAAACAGGTTTATTGATTAAAAGTTGTCTTAGGACTAATTCTTAAGCACATTCTTAAAGTTACACAAAGCTTCAGTATTTTACTTTAACCCTTTCTATCTTAATTAATATAGGTCATACTCTAATCACTCCTTAAACACTCTCTGCCTCAAACCCCCAAACTAAAAAAAAACCCTCTGTCTTTGACTGAACTCCCTAGACTCTGACTCACCTCCCCTTCTAGTTTCTCTGGCTCTGCCTCCCAACAGCTCTCATTGGTACATACCAATAATCTTCTACCTGAGCCAAAGCAGGGTGATCGCTGTAGGCATGTATTACCAAGGTGTTAACTGAAACTGGGTTGAGCAGGAGGTGGGGATTGTTTTCATATACAGTACAGTATGTGCTGGGCATTGCTCTGCACTAGAACCTTTTGGGACAATGTATTGAAAAAGAATTCTGGTTATGTGAGCCAACAAATCAGCCCTGATTGAAAATTGGAAATGATAATTAAAATGTGCTACATAAAGACCTAATAACCTTTCTGCTGGTGGCAGCTAGACAGATGTTGGCCAGACAGATGGGAAGGACCAAAAAAGTGTTGGCTCAGACAGGTATGGGATATTGTTGACCCTCAAGAAGCCCATTAGGCAAGAGGACATAAAAAGAAGAGCATCATTGACGTGACATGGTTTCCTTTTATTTTGTTTATTAGACAAAAAGATGACAAAAACAAAAGACCTTCAACCACACACTGTAACACATTGAACATTTTTTAAAGATTGATCTTTACCAATAATTTATAATTTATCCGCTGCGGTAACTTTGTTAAATTCTTTCTCATATATTGACAGGGGAGCATTGCCTTGATCTTGTTTTTCTGTGGCTTTTGCTCAGTTTTTGGAACAAGCTGTGAAAGTTATTGTTCAGTTAAAAAAAGCTATGATTATTGTACAGTACTACTGTGGGTATTTGTATAAAGAGAGAAGGGGAAAATAGGAGGGAATCAAACAGAAGATCCATGTGGTTTCAGTGCCCCACCAAGAAGAAACAGAGAATTACAGAGCACCCTAGCAAAAGTCGGCAGATTGCATCCCGTTCTTGCAGAATGTCCCCCCACCACTAGAAACCTCCAAATCTATCAGTCAAAGCTTCTTGCAAACATATTTAAGGGACCCTTGGCTCCCCTGACATTCTGGCTCTTTTCCTACCAATGTCATTATGGCTGTTCTGGCTCTGGACCCAGCAGAGCTCAACAATGATATTGTTTTGCAGCTGACCCAGTCCCCGGGATTTCTGAGCCAATATTTCCTGCACCCTTTCCCCCGTTCATTTTATCTTGAATTATTAGCTGTAATTCTAAAGGAAATCAACCCTGAGTGCTCCCTGGAAGGACAGATCCTGAAGCTGAGGCTCCAGTCCTTTGGCCATCTCATGAGAAGAGAAGACTCCCTGGAAAAGACCCTGATGTTGGGAAAGAGTGAAGGCAAGAGGAGAAGGGGACGACAGAAGACGAGATGGTTGGACAGGGTCATCGAAGCAACCAACATGAAGTTGACCAAACTCCGGGTGGCTGTAGAAGACAGGAGGGCCTGGCGTGCTCTGGTCCATGGGGTCAGGAAAAGTAGGACATGACTTAATGGCTAATAAGTCCTAACCTGAAAACAAGCCCTAGTAGGGTTTTTCAGGATGGTCGTTATATAAGCCACTTCCACCACTGTGCTGCAACCAGAAGATGACACAACTGTATTTGAATCAATGTAGATTGTTTACATAAAAAAACAAAACATCCCCTAAAAATATGCCCCGGTGCATTTTTTTGGAGCAAAAATGAATATAAGACCCTGCCTTATTTTCAGGGAAACACGGTAAAAGCTAGCAAGTCTTGTCTGTGTACACCTTCAAAGGCTGCAGCCCAGCTACATCAAGTGGAATCGAGGAAAGCTGAAGCCAAGTTAAAATGTGTTAACAGGCAAGGAGCCACAAGGTATTTTGTTGGTGTTACGGCAACAGACTCACATGGACTGGATACTCCCAACCCCCCAGAAAAATGTATGGTCTTCATCACAAAGCAAAAAAGCAACTCAGAGGCACAGCAACAGAGCACGGGGCTGGAGTGGAAGCCACCTACGCTGAAAAGAACAGGGACGCAGCCTGGGAGTCAATGAGGCTTGGTCAGTTCCCCCAGTGGTGATGTGGGGCAGGAGGTCAGGATCATCTTCTTCCACAACAAAAAACACCCCCCAGCTGAACTCATCTAGGGTTGCCCACCCAGGGAATGACCCCTTTCATTGCCCACAGCACCTCGGCCTGATTATCTCCATTCCTAGATGGGTTTATTCTCCGCCTGACCACCCGGTGAAGCACAGGCTGGCACATGGGGCCCTAGACTTTTTTTCTCCAGCGAGGTCTCCTGGGAGAAACATTTTCCTTTTTTGACCTACGAGAGAGTTTTCCTCAGATGCCTTCTTGCCGGATGAGCCAGGGAGTCTGCCAGGTGAGAGAGGCCCCAGGGCCGACTCCTCCTGGGAAAAGAGTTAAGAACTGGTCTTCCCTGACTTGTTTGGCCCCTCAAAGCTCACCACCTCAGACCCAGGGCTCCCCTGGACGCGGCAAGCCGTGTTACACTTTTTACAGTGGTACAACTGGGTCCCGGTATGCTCCATGTTGCCCTTGTAGGAAAGCCACGAGCCACAGATGTGGCACCGGCGACTCCGTGTCCGGCCGTGATTCTGCAGGTGCTCCATCAGCAGCCTCTCGTGCACGAAGGTGCGGTCGCACTGGGCGCACCGAAACGGCCAGTCCTCCGAGTGCATCCGTTTGTGCTCCTCCAGAGCGGCCGGGCTGGTGAAATAAACGTTGCACTCCAGGCACCGGCGGACCTGGCCCGGCCCGTGCGACTGCTGGTGGTGGTCGAAGGCGGCAGTATCGGTGAAGCTCCGGTTGCACACTGAGCAGTGCAAGGGCCAGTCCACTGCGTGGATCCGCTCGTGCAGGACCAGCGCCTTCTGGCTGGAGAAGCACAGGTTGCATTCCGTGCAGTGGAACTGGGTCCCCGGGATGTGGGTCAACAGGTGCTGCGAAAGCTGCCCCTGGAATGCAAAGCTGCGGTTGCATTCGGCGCACTGGAACTTCCGCTTGCGGCTGTACTGGTGGTCCACCAAGGTCTCCTGGCGCACAAAGCCCTCGCTGCACATGCCGCACTGGACCAAGCACCCTCTGGGGTGGGCGCCTCCGTGCTCTGGGCCCTCCATGGGGTTTGGCAGGATGGCCCTGCTGTGGGAGGCCAGGGGCGGCCAAAGGGGAGGATCGCCTTCCTCTTCCGCAGCCTGGAGCAGCCTCGGGGGCCCTGCGAAGGCAAAAGAGGAAACCCACCTTAAAAAAAGGAGCCAGGCTTTCAGAAGAGACATGCCGTAGTCCAAGAACTTCCAAATCCTAATCCAGAACTCCAGAGGTGGGAATTTTAAAATCTAGACCTTTACAGTACCTCCTGGCAGCCACAGGGCAGCTTTGAACAAACTGGAGCTCTTTGGCGGATACAGGATGAGCCAGCATGCAAGGTGACAGAGCTGGGGTCTCCCTCAGTCACCAAGAGCTGGGGCTCTGGCTTGCTTCTTTCCTTCACAAGCCAAGGACAAATCCTGCACTCTTTCGCTCGCTTGCTGGGAGAAAAACAAGCCAGAGGGCAAACACCTGTCACAGTGAGATAGCACCACAAACAAACTGTGCACACAAGTCCACACACCTGTCACAGTGAGATAGCACCACAAACTGTGCACACAAGTCCACGGTTTGCTTATGTGCTTCGAGTGCATGGCGGGAATCGACCGCAAACTGACTTATTGGCCTGCCTGCAATAGCCAGGATTCCCATGGAGATTGTCAGGATGTCAGAAGTTGCCCGCCATGCACCACGCTAGACATTATATTTTGCATGGATATAGAACAGAGTAGGTGCATCGAATCAATGGAACTTCCAGAGGAGTCAACTCACCAAATCCTTAATGACCGAATGGGTCTACTCTAGTTGTAACTAGAGGGGAGATAGGATAGCACTTTTCAAAGACTTGAAAGGTAGTACCTACAGAGGAAGGGCAGGATCTGTTCTCGATTGCTGCAGAGTGCAGGGCACGCAACAATGGGCTCAAGCAACAGGGAGCCAGGTCTAGGCTGACTATCAGGAAAAAATAGGGCAGGATCTGTTCTCGATTGCTGCAGACTGCAGGGCACTCAACAATGGGCTCAAGCAAAAGGAAGCCAGATCTAGGCTGACTATCAGGAAAAAACGTCTTGTTAGAGCAGTACGACAGCAGAACCCATGATCTCAGGGGAAGGTGGTGAGCACTCCAACGCTGGAGGCAGTCAAGAGAAAAATGGGACAGCTCTGCTTTGATTTGGATTTCTGCCTGGAGCAGGGGGTTGGACTGGATGGCCTCAGAGGCCCCTTCCAACTGCATTGTTCTACGACTCTAACTTACTGTGCTAAGCAACAATATGGTAGACAGAGAATCATGGTTTCTATCATACCTTTGAACAGACCTTCAAAGATTCTGAATCCCCAGTCAAGAGAAAAATGGGACAGCTCTGCTTTGATTTGGATTTCTGCCTGGAGCAGGGGGTTGGACTGGATGGCCTCAGAGGCCCCTTCCAACTGCATTGTTCTACGACTCTAACTTACTGTGCTAAGCAACAATATGGTAGACAGAGAATCATGGTTTCTATCATACATTTGAACAGACCTTCAAAGATTCTGAATTCCCCCGCCCCCAGCTTTGATCCAGCTGCTACAAACATAAGTCGCGCTATCGTTCCAGAAGCCACTCACCAAATAAGACCAGATCCTGCTGATCCTCAACGCATGGTTCTACTTCCTCCTCCTCCTCCTCTTCTTCCTCCTCCTGCTTGATGCAGACCGGAACAAACAGATCTGGGTGAGAGACAAGCAAGTCAAAGTGTGTATATCCTTTCAGGGCACTCCTCCATCGGCCTAGAGCTGCCACACCACCTGCGAACGGTCCTTATCTATCTCCAGGTTTTTCAGGTCTGTCAAGTTCATCTGAGACGCCTGCTACAGAGAGGCCGCTCCAGATGGGTCCCTGCTGCAGCCTGAGGTTCTCCCACCCACCTCCCACTGCTAAAGGACATTGTCCCTTCTCTTTCTCCATGTACTGATTTGCCATATGCTTACATCCTGCAGTGTTTTCTTGTACCGCTATGGGGCTTTCATACTGCTAGGGCTTCCAGTCTCAGAACTGACTCAGAAGCCTGACCACCACCAGGCAGAATTCTGGGACTGAAAGCCCCAAACCCTGCCTCCATGTTCTTTTCTGTATTGTTCCTCCTTCAATCCAACAAGAATCCAACTTGGATTAGCCCCCCCCCCTTGCAAAGGCTCTCTATGCCTTGCAAAACCACATGAGTTAGTTAGTTCCACAGGAGGCTGCCTCTATACACCTGAGCGGGAGTCGGAACCTTCCCTTCCCCTCCCCTCCCGGCACCTTTGCCAGTGGCCGAGGGTCTTGTGACTCCCCACAACCTGGCAGAGCCATTTTCTCACATTTCAAAGCAGAAGCAGTGCAGGAATAATATGAGAGAGGCTGCTCTCACCCCTTCGGATTCTCAGAATTCTTCCCCTGGGACTTCTAGGGGAATCCAGGAACTGGGAATCCTAAAAATAGGACAGTCCGGTCCGTATCTAGCACTGTGGTTTCCACTTGAAATGAGAAAACACCAGGGTGCCCCAAACCACGTTAAAAGCCAATGGCAGGGAGGCATTGGCAGTCCAGCTGCTGTGGAATGACAACAGCCTCCCCCCGATTCCAAGGCTCCTCCCCCCCTTGGCCCCCCTCACTCACCACTGCTGGAGCTTCCAGGAGACGAGGGCTCTTCCTTGATGCACTGCTCCTCCCTTTCTTGCTTGACCTGCAGTCCCACATCACGGTGGTCGACCTGTGATTCTTTGGAGAACAGAGATGATGACTTCCCCTGCTGTGTTCATGGCACTGCAACCGTCAGGCCACAGGGTGGACCCTCCCCCCCCCCCCCCCTTTTGTAACAGCTGCCCCCCCCCCATACTCCCTTCTTTTACCAAAGTGATGGTAGTCGGTGTCAAATCCAGATCTGGGCTTGCCACCCGATCTTCCCTGTTGCCCCCTAGGGCCCACTGGCACGTCCATCCTGACAAACTATCTTTCACAGCCAGAAAAAGGCACTTTTGATCGATCTGGGGGCAATTCATCTCTTTCACCCCCCTCCCCAATAAGGGCTGAATAATCTGCCCACAATGAGGAGTCAAAAGAAAGGAAGGAAACAACAGAATTCCATTCCAAATTGGATTTCAAATTTCCTAGTTTTGAAGGGGGGGGAAAGTGTTCAGAGAGGCAGAACATGATATGGAAGTCCTAGGAACTATTTGAAAGGTGGTCTCCTATTTCTGGAATTCCTTCATTAGGGGCAGCTCACCTTTCCTGCTTCGGGGAGGGGGATCAAAAAGCCTGTCGTTTATATACCGGCTCATAGTGTTTTAAGCACTCTCTGGGCAGTTTACAAGTTAATTACGCAGGAGACATAGGTCTCAGGCCACTCTCTGGGCAGTTTACAATTATGCAGGAGACATAGGTCTCAGGTTTTTCTCTTTGATGAGAGGAATCCAAGGGAGTCAAGAAGGGAGAGGCGAGACTTTCCAGGACACGAGAGGTGACCAGAGGTTAACCAACCACTGAATGGAGTGGATTTCCACCCATACTGACTAACAGCAGGGTATCTAGTCATGCTCATGAGTACAGTTATGTCTGTTTACATGAAGCAGCCATACAGAGTTCATGTGGTTAAAATGGACCGAGTCCATGTAGTACTCGGTCCACTTGACGTTGGATTTCAGATTTACACACAGGCATGAAGCTCACAGGGTGACCTTGGGCCAGTCACACCCTCTCAGCATGACCTGCTTCACAGGTTTGTTATCAGGGAAGGAACTTCCAGATTTCTTGGGCTGCAAACCCCGTAATTCCCCGTTCCCAGCGTTCAACCTGACAGAGGGACACTTTACATAAATGTGGCTCGCCTCACCTGGATAATTTTGAGGCTGAGCTGGGCCTACCTCTACCCAGGTTCCCTCTTCCTGTCCCAGTGCTAGCTGGGAGCTTTCCTTCTGAACAGGAAGTGAGGCGAAGCTAGGCCCAGCCTCAGCCTCCAACCACTCCGGTTGAGGTCTTTCTCCAAGGTCAGCCGCATTTAGGTGTAAGGCGTATGTCCGTCAGACTCTGAGACAACTCCCAGAATTGAGGATGATGGGACTTGTACTCCAAAAAGTCCCATCCCTAGATGTCATGAAGCAAAACTGGGGAGAACAAGAGCTCACTGGGAGAAACACGGGATGTGAATGTATCGATAAAATAAGCACATGCCCAGCACCAAAAAGGACCACGGCAGGCAGAAAAGGGGTACCAGCCACGTCCTTCCCATGAGTGGCAGAGAAAACCGTGGAACGACAGCTCAGAAGAGCCAGAAGGCTCAGGGGGGGACCAGAAGACTCACAAACCAGTGTTCTGAGAAAAAGAACTCACCTAGACCGGGACCCTCGCAACGGTTCCCTTCACAATAATCGTCTGGGTCAACAAAGCGTTTGGGGTCTTCCCCGACCTCCTCTCGACCCCAGGACACAGCGTCTACGGCAGCCACCGGGCAGTCTATCCACAGAGAAAGAGGAAGCGCTGACGCACGAACTCTCTCTGTCTCACGCACACCCCAAAGGCAGCCTGACCGGGCCATTCGCAGGCCGATGCAACTAAGATACGCCCCCCCTCCCGAAGACACACACACATTCACATGATTAAACTCCTTCTAAAGCAAGCAGCTCCTTGGGGAGAATACCGTGGCCTGGGCCGTTCTGGAGGACTCAACAATGTCCGCATTCAATGACAGGAGACACCGCAGGAGGCATGGGGCAGGAATCACCAGAAAGGGTGCAGAAACGGGCCTTCCCGAAACAGGTGCCAAACAGGCTTCTCTAAAATTCCAACACCAAGAATTCTGGGGAATCTAGTCCCAAAAAAACCACCAAAAAACACAGAGAGAGAGATCGAGAGAGAGAGAGAAAGGGGCAGGCTTAAGCCCCTCAGCACCCCATACACCCACCTTCATAGCTGGGGTCAACAGGCATTTCCCTCCCTTCCAGGCTTTCTGGATCCTCTCCGCGCTCAACCTGGGACAGGACCTTGGGCTTGGAAACGGCATCATCTGATCGAAAGAAAGACAGACAGACGAGAGGTCATGGAGAAGCCACCTCTTCTGGGATGGAAGCCTCGCATAAAGAGCAGAAGGGCAGTTGGGAGGTGGTGGTTTGGGGGGGGCAGGCACTCCAACCTGTGAATGTGGAGGACCGAATGTGAGGGTTTCGGGGGGGGGCTCAAGTGAACTCTCTGCTGGTTCCTCCTAAGGAGGATAAGGTAGGAACGGTTCAAACTCGCAGCATTTATTTCAGGAAAATCCAAAAAGCTATTCACGTCACCCGGAACAGCCAATTTCTCTTCCTCACACCACGGGGTGAGGAAGGGATCGTGGCCTTAGGTCACAAGTCTTAGGTGATCCACGATGATGTCCAACTGCCCACACCTGGGGGCTCCGGGTTAAGTCCACTAACGCTGCATCTGATGAAATGGGCAACAAGGGCGTTCGGTTTCCTTTTGGGCGCCTCGAGGCCAGGTGTTCCGGTTCCTGGCTCCTGGAACCTCCCACGGTTTCACCGTCCCAGTCGGGTTCTGCCCTCTGTCTCTCTCTCTCTTGCTTCTCTCTAGCTATCTGTGCCCTTTCTTCCCCACTCCCTTGCTTCTTTCTCCCCCTCATGAGAGGGCTTTTGAGGTGCCCCTCAGGTCTCCGCCTTTCTGCCTTCTCCCCAGGTCCCGTGAGCTGTTCCCAGGGAGGACTCCAACGATTCTATAGCCATATCCATTCCCTTCCTGGGGGAAGGATCTTTTTTCCTCTCTCCACCTCTCCTTCTCCTGCTTCCACGACTCTTCCTCTTCACTCCTCTGCCTTATGTATCTTTTCCCCCTCCTCCTCTTTCATTCCCACCTTTTCTAACTGCCCTGTTATTTCTTCCACTGTTTCTCCCGCCTCCTCCTCTTCTGCCTGTTCCTCCCTTCTCTTGACTGGGATGGAGGGTGCTCGGGCAGGGACATTATCGGTCCTGCCAGCCATCTCACACCGAATAAGAGGGACCTGGCCTGAAACACGGGTGGGTGGGAGCAGGGGAGGGTTAGGGGGTGCTGTGAAGTCCTCACCCAAGGAGACCAGCATCTCGTAGTTGCTTCTCATGACCGCTTTGTAGAGTTCCTTCTGCTCCTCCTCCAGACTGCTCCACTCCCGCTCACTGAAGTCGACAGAGCTGTCACCGAAGGTCAATGGCACCTGGGAAGTCAGGAAGGATATGCTCAGGAGCATATTTAATACTGCCTTGGCCCAAAACACAGGCAGCTTTGTTACCTTCTCCAACACTGAAGTGCCCAACATATAAGAGCAAAAAACAAAGAATGCCAACATTACTGTGAGTGCAAAAGACAAGTCAAATGGGCACAAGGATTAGCTCTTAAGGAATACCCTCAAGGGTGAAGAAGGGACCAGCCACACTTAGATCCAAGACTAAACCAAAGGTCCTGACCTGCTGCCCCCTCTTCCTCACTAGCCTGCACGACCCTCGCTGGCACCAGGGGAGGGAGAAGGCCATTTACTGCCCATGTGAATGAGCCTCAAGCTTAGACATTTGCCCCCTCCCCTCCCCACCTTCCTCCCTGAGGAGGAGACTGCCAATATCTAGCTCAGCTTTTAATCAGACAGATGTTTGGCAAGTCATCTGAACCAAGACAAGCAGGTTTGCTGAAATTTAGGGGCTTGGTAGAACAAACCAGGAGCAAAGCCTGCTTCCTGATCCTGGCTTTTTTGGGTGCGGGTGTGTGTGATCAAAACTAAAGCTCTCGTTTTTAATACAATGACAAATGGTAAAATGGAGATCAAAAGATTCTTATTCCTTTTTTTCTTTTTGGCTGCACTTGAGAAGGGGGGACCGGAGAAGAGTGATCGCACATCTCGTGGAGGAAAACTAAACCCGGACTTCGCTTTTTACATGCTTAACCAGACGCCTCTCTACTTCTAAGCCAGTGGAAGAAACACCAGGGTCTTATACAGGTCTCAGAAGATCAGTATCAAAAATGTTATGGTTATTAGGGGCTTCATGTTATGTTATGTGCTGCCAAGCTGAAACCGACTTATAGCAACCCTAATAGGGCTTTCAGGGAGTGAGATGTTTAAAGAGTGGCTTTGCCAATTCCACCTGCTGTGGGTTTCCATGACCAAGCAGTGATTTGAACTCTGGGGCTCCTGAATCCAAGTCCAACACTCTATCCACTAGCCCACACTGGGAATCCTGGATAGAATTCAGAAGCTAAGAGGCTTCAAAAAATTAGATTTTGCTTGCTTGCTTTATTTATTTTGCAAAAAAACACTCCAGCTCATCTTTCATGCCATGAAGCTATAAAAAAGAATGACGAGACTGAAAGTTTGGTTTTCAAGAATTTTCATCCCTTCCTTCCTTTGTTTCTGAAATGAGGGGAAAAACTATGCCACAGGTGAAAACCACTGAATGGTGGCGTCATGGGGAAGGAGGCACAACCTTCTGGGAACACCAGGAGGGACACATTTGGCGATGAGGGATGGAGGTTCCTTATCCTACAGTTTGACCTGCAAACCTACGTAGATTCATGCTAGAAAATGCCCCTCTGAATGAGGCACAATTTACCTCTAAATAAGCATTGATTCTTCTAAAGGAGAAACATTTATTTATTTAATCACCACCTAAACCCAAGTGGTCCCTCCCCACTATATGCTGGGTCCCGGTTACCTTTGGAATTTCCCCTTTAACGCCAGGAGGGAATCTCAGGATCCAAAAGTTCTGGTTCTTCAGCAGGTTCTCCAGGTTGTCCAGTCTCCTTTGGAGAAGGCCATTCTCCTCAATCAGGGTCCCGAGCGCAGCCAGTTTGCTCTCCAGCTGGTTCCCCATGTCCACCACGGTCTTCTCACAGGCGGCCCATTTCTGCTCGGCCACGGTCATCCTCCGTTCCAGATGAAGCAACCGGGCGTTGTGCGAGTGCGTTAACTTGTCCATGGCTTTGGCTGCAGCCCGCTCGGCTCGCTTTGTGGCGTGGACCCCCGCCTCTCCGTGGAAGGGGAGCTGGCCGGTTACCGTGGGCTGCAAAGGCAGTGGACAGCTAGATCCCAAGGCCTTCCGCTCCACCGCCTATTTTTTTGCAGGCTGATAGGAAGACGAGGATCCTTTATTAACCCCCTCCCCCCTGGGGGGAATTGCTAATGCTTGTCCCGAAATGCTTGCTTCTGTCTTTTTTAGAGGTGCCCACAGTAATCTGCTTCAGTGTGTGGAACCACCAAAATCAACAACACAATCACAAAGAGTTCTGGTACCTTAAAGTCTAACAGATTTATTTGAGTGCCAGCATTCCTTCAATGTCAGAGGATGTCCCACTGCCTCTCAGGAGACTGA